ATACTACCTTATTATCTCCTAATTCCGCATTCTAAATGCTTTTGTCTCCGGCCTCTAATATCCGTTTGACTGCCAAGCTTCGAAGACACACCTAACGTATGACCTATTACCATTTCTTCTTTACAGGCTTCCGTTTGGATGGTGCTGCCGCATCGCTCACAACCACTGGAGGTCCCAACCGTTTCTTTGCTTCATCCTCTGCCTGAGGACTCCGTGGCCCCATTCTTTTCAACTCCCGGTGTCTGAATGCTGATGTCTGTCACTCCCTAACTCGGTCCGCTTAACACTAGCAAGACTGTTAGGCCTCAAAGAACCCCGTAGTCTGTGACACACTCCCATAACCTTTTAAGAGGCTTTCCTTTGAATTACGATGCCGCATATCTCACAACCATCGGACTTGCCGAAAGCATCATCTTCACATCTCATGCTTGCTGATATCACGAACTTACATTCTTAGCATCTCCTTTCGGATTGTGAACGTCATTGTTCCCTACTTCTCATCTCTAGCTGTCTGCCTCTGGTATGGCTGAGAAGTTCCAAAGAGCTACCATCTTTACTGGCTACTATTCCCATTTTGATGTTGCACTGCTCAATGCCATCCGAAATAACAAATTTGACCTTGACCGCGCGAAGTTTGAAACTGCGCTTTCTCGACATTTTGTCGTTTATTCTAAAGTTTTTTTACTATTCAGTAGAATGGTTAGACTATCTTGCTTGTCATACTAACTTGGTTCTATGGAGGATTAACGTCGGCAACAATGTTTGAGTAAACACAGAACAGAACTTGTCTTACCACTCTCCCGTCAGATCCAAGTAAGATAATGCAAGCAAGGCAGTCTGTGCACAGACCTGCTAACCACGCGGATAAACCAAGTAAGCCACAACCTGATAACACTGACTCAGCCTAATCTTCTGACTGCAGGGTAATCTTGTCGGATCCACGGAAAGAGGCACATGATAAAATTAACCTTCTTGAGATCGAATTGAACACATGCAAACAATATCTCTGAACCGAGCGAAACCCTAGCAAAAATGATGCCATTAGCTTAGCTCTCGGGAATCACGCGGATCAATGATGTGAATGAACTCAAAGCAGCAGGGGAGCTGCTTACGCACATTGCTAATGAAGTTTCCGAACGAGTTCGTCGTACAACTAACGTAATGCTATTCAATGTCCTCGACAAAACGAAATTAGCGAAGGTGAAGCACGCGCTCACCAATCTCTGTAACATGACTCCTTACTCCTTCGAAAATTAACGTCTACGAAAAACATCCAAATGTATATCGTGCCCTATACTTATCACTTTTGGAGACTAAGTACTGGCCAAGGCTCTAATATCAAAACGATTCGTTATGCGATAGGCACCAAATTTGGGGCCTATCGCGAGCAAGCCGGACAAAACACCTCTGCAAAGAACGTTTGCCTCGACCAATAAACTTCCGCCTGAGCAAGTGGCGGAATATTCCCCCACCGCGACTGGACTTGCTACCTCACTCCCAGTAGATCTTGGTCCGTCGAAACAGCATGTGGACCCTAAGGTGACGAAGGCCTAAAGCTCTGAACTAACTGCTTTCAACTCAGTGAAGACGCTAGCCCTCTCGGTAGTGCACTATGAGGCTGCTTTTGGGTAAGATGAGGCTGATGTAGATAAACCGAATGATTCCGACATGGGTGACACTGACCCCGAACCTCTGACAGAAGAAGTTATTGGCAACACATCCAACGAACCTATGACAAGCACCCCACTGACTACTAAGGAACTCTCACGCAACCGCCCAAAACGAAGGCGCATAAAAAGCCTGCCTCTTGCAACTCCTACGTGCCGAGCCATCAACTCAGAGAACGTCCCAACGGAAACAGGCAACCCCCACCCTCCGCGCCACCTAACAAGTGCTCATCTCAGAATAGACAGATTGTAACCTTAAAGGCAATATCTAACATGTACCACTGTGGGAGACCACGACTACGAACCAACAAGTGCAGCCCCCAGAAAGGCATACTTGCTTCCAACTCCAACTGCACGCCATATAAAAGCCAATGTCGTCAGCCACAACCAGAACATTTGCAACGCTCGCCCCGCACTCGGCAGCGCTAACACAAGCAACACACCTGCCCCACTTCACCGCCCCCAGCCAACCCAGTTTCTCAACCTGAGGCTGTCCAATATAAAACAGTCTGCTGGCGAATCCACACCCTACTCCCTAATGCCACCATTTCTGCGGTGCTACCAAGCTGACGGTTACTAAAATGAATTGCAGGTAGCCCGCTACAAGGCTGCTGCTTATAGAACACTCCGCAAAGTAACGAAACCCAACACCATACACTCGCCTGCTAGGATTAATCGCCCGAACCATACAAGCCCAATGATTACTGAACTGCCTGACCCATCAGCACGCATTCCCGCTCCATTTTATGGAATATGGCGGGCTGCGACTCGCCACGACTCACAAGACTTTTGAAGGAGTCTGCCCTCTACCATCTTTACAGGCACTTAAGCATCCCACAGCTGCCATAGAGCAATCGCTACCATCCCTTCCCACACCTCATATAGTCGCCGGCTCATTAAAAGCTCATTCCAGAAATATCAGTCCCTATCACCCCAAGTGAACCTGCTCAAAAGTTCCCCCGATGCGCAACCCAACGGTTCCGGCTTAACGGCAACGCGTGTTTTGCTTTCCCTGAGACACTTCTTGTCGCACCCACGAGCTTGTTTTCCACGCATCCAACCGACGACCTAACCAGAAGACTCACCATTGCATGCAAACATGTCATCAACCCTCTCCAAGCCTTGGAATGCGATACAGATACCGCAGTAACCAACCCACATTTGAGAGAAGTATGTCCCTCAGGGCCGCACGCTCACTGTACTCCATCGTTATCTTCTAGTGCTTACGTACAACATATCCCTGCCAATACCTTAGTAATCGCCAATACACTTTCCCACATCTACAAACCTGTCTTCACTGCGTCGTTTCAGCATGGTAACCAAGCAGCCCCACTCCTGCAACCCGACCTGCTCTATGATGACTCGGACAGTAAGATTTTGTCTGACCTATGTAACCTTATTACACTTATCACTCACACTGAGACAACAGCAAGTATATCTACGCAAACCACTCAGATTAGTTCTCTCTCTGATAATTCAGCAAATGCTCACTCGTGCACCGAAGCACTCACTCTACTTCTCATTAACGCAAGGTCCATCAAACATAAGCTGCACCTTGGCAACCCCGTCATTATCCTATCTGGCCCCCAGGTAGTGCTCAGCACAGAAAGGTGACATGATGGTAACACTCCCGATGCGCAGCTGCGAATCCAGGGCTTGTAGCGGCTTGACGAATGCTACACAAGAAAACCGTAGCCCAGTAAGACAGAAGACGGCAAGATATAAAGAATGTCTTGAGAAAATAGCTATGTACAATAGCTATGTGAATATAGCTTGAGGACAATGGGAGAGAGTGGTGAAGCAATGAGTAACACCACGTAGGAACGCAACAGCCGGCAACGCGCGGACAAGATGGCGAACCCGGTTCAAAATTGCAGTCCAGTATATATAGGCTTTGGACGGGTGCAAAGTAAAACAAAATGTGTACAAGTCTGAATGTGATGTTTGATGGAGTAAAATGTCATGGTCACTACACAGGCCTCCCCCTAGAAGGCCGAGGGACGAGGACTTCGATCGTTGCTGGCTTGCAGATGTAAGAAGGCAGAACCATAGGAGTAGGTTAGTATTTAGATTATTTATTCTTCTTGTGGATTGGAATGCATCATCGGTGGGCCGTCCCAGCGGGCACACCGGACTACAAAAAACTGGATAATCCAGAAAAAGGGCCGGTAGGACCTTTCACCGCTGCTGAAGGACGGTGCGCTTGGGTGGAAGTTACTCTTCCCACCGCATTCCAATCCACTGCCAAAACGAAGCTGAAATCCTGTTCGTACCAGCGAGCCGTGGTGGGGACCAAAAACAATGAGCTAAGCACACGAGCAGCCAAAGCCAGGAAGGCGAGCCAGACAAACGACCAAGGCGAGCCAAATTGAGCCAAGCAAACCACGATCCAAAGGCCAACGTGGGCGGGCGAGACGACAAAGCGTTGGGGGTAGACCAAAGCATCCAAACGACCAAACAATTGAGGAACAGCCAACCATTGAACAGACGGACCCAAACGTGCCAGCCCCATGACTTTGCCTGATAGACGGGGGAAAAACTCGGGGAGACAGATTTAGATATTAACGGAAAAGCATAATAAAACAACGAGAGAAAATGAAAAAGATTCATGAGGTGTAGATGAATTCGACCAAATCGGAGAAATGAACAGGTTTACGAACTCTTCTACCGTGACTGGTATTAGTTTGAGGCGAATCGGGTGACTGGGATTGTGGTGGAGCTGTAAAGCTGGGCGTCGTTACAGGTGGCTCTGTAGATTGCGTTAAGGTCGATGACGAGTCGAGGGCATAAACTAAAGGTTTGTGGTCAGTAAAGACGGTAATGCTTCTGCCCTCTAGAACAGGACGAAAATGACGGATGATACCAAGTTCGAGCATGTGCTCGAATTCCGCCTTAGCGGCTTTTAGCTTATCAGGGGCGAGACGTCGTGACCGTGCAGAAACCGGTGGGCCACGGGTTCGTATATGGTGCGTAACGCCAGATGCGACCGGAAGAGTAGCGTCAGCTGAGCGGACGAGCTGCGGAAACTGTCTAAACAGATCTAAAATTTCCTTATCAGCTTCAGGCTGAATGTAAATGGGAGTGACAGAAACACAAGGTGTGCGAACTCCATATGTGAAAAGCTGGGTATTTTGGTCAACGAGCTTGCGATGACGCGCATCGACGAGAAGATCGAAGTGTTGGAGGAAGTCGATACCCAATATAGCAAATGGAACGGCAGCGATGGTGAAAATCCATCGAAAGGGACGTCGTAGTCCGAGGTCAATGGTAAGGGAGCGTTGACCGAAGACTCGAATAGCAGTGCCGTCAGCGGCACTCAAGTTAGTTGTCTGTGGCTTAGTCGCGTCGCCTGGAACCGGTGGGATCACGCTAACTTCCGCCCCGGTATCAACCAGGAACATGATCCCGGTGTTCCTATCAACGATTTTGAATAGGCGACTTGGACGACTTCGGCCGACGGCGTTCGTCGCCAAAACGTGTCGGCCTGTCCTTTTTCTCGTTACGGGAAATGAGCATGGTTTTATACAATTTCTAGCGGACCTTCCAAAACGTGCGTGATAACGGCAAATTGGGCGTCGTGTTCGTCTTCCAGATGGGCTAGGGGAACGGGATGGAGAATCCCGTTGGTGCCGATGTAACTTTAAGCTTTGAACTTCTTGCCGTAGCGCGGCTATCTCTGTTAAGAGCTCACCAGTGGAAGGTGGAGTAGTGGTGTCGATGGTTTGGACCGAAGGGTCAACAGTGAAATCTACGTCAGGTGAGCGAAGAGAACTAGACGACGGACACGGTGGTCCGGTGAAGCGATCCATCATATCATCAGCAATATCTGCAACTTCTGACAAAGGCTGCGATTTCGCAAGCGATAGCATAGCTTGTACGTTTTCAGGCAAACGCTGAAGCCATAACTCTCGAAGCAGCGACTCGTCCATATGCAGTCCTTGAAGAAGACCACGCATCTCTAGCAATAGCGCGGATGGCTTACTAGAACCTAGTTGTAGACCAGTAAAAGGTTTATGCAAGCGGGACTTCTCGGAGGGAGTAACACGCTTTATTACAGCGTTCTTGAGCAAAGTATAACGGTCGGGAGAACGACATGTAATAATAAGATCGCGTAGCGCTATAGTAATATCAGTTGGCAGGCGTGTGAGCAAGTGGTTAAACTTTGCAGAATCGCTAGTGACATGCTTAGAAGTAAACTCAGCTTCTAAAATCATGAACCATAAAACGGGATCTTTTTCAATAAATGGTGGAACTACCAGAGATACCGCTTGCACAGACTGTGAGTCCTCACACTTTTTAGAAACTGAGGCCATGATTTGCGTGGAAAAACCAAAGAAATGGAACGAACTCACCGGAATGCGATTGGGGTCACCAATTATGTAGCGGCTTGACGAATGCTACACAAGAAAACCGTAGCCCAGTAAGACAGAAGACGGCAAGATATAAAGAATGTCTTGAGAAAATAGCTATGTACAATAGCTATGTGAATATAGCTTGAGGACAATGGGAGAGAGTGGTGAAGCAATGAGTAACACCACGTAGGAACGCAACAGCCGGCAACGCGCGGACAAGATGGCGAACCCGGTTCAAAATTGCAGTCCAGTATATATAGGCTTTGGATGGGTGCAAAGTAAAACAAAATGTGTACAAGTCTGAATGTGATGTTTGATGGAGTAAAATGTCATGGTCACTACAGGCTACACCTCCTTCAGCAATGGACGTACCAACCACCGTGGTGGCTAATGCCTTATCCACGTGCGTGACGATTTCGGGAGCCATCATTTCAAGAACTTTCAATCGGCCCTCTGGAAGGTTCGATTTGTATTCAGACTAGTAGGGAACAGAACGATTACTTAACTGGCTCTCTTTCTAATCCTCCACACATTAACACAATCGGTATACGCAGTCTAGTTGAACTCTTCCCAGAAAATATCCCCATTGCCTACCCACTCTAAGATAATCGGTGGTGACTTCAGCATGCCGCAAATGGTCTGGCAAACGCAACCTGCGCCACCCAAATACCGTGCCTTTGTGAACACCACATATGCATTTGGGTGGACTTAACACGCGCATGCACCCACTAGGCAAAATAACACCTTAGATTTACTTTTTACAAACGGAGTTGCGCGTGCATCTGCTAGCGTGATAGACCATCTCTTTGGATGCGATAAAAAGCTCTCTTTCCAACTACTCATCACTCGTCCCCATTGGCTAGACCAGTGTGATCTTTTCGGCACTTCAACCGCAACAACTGGACAAATTTTGCGCTACTTCTAAGATCCACCAGCTGGGATGTATTTATTCTGGCTGCAGGTGCGGCCACTGCCTCTTCTGTGCCATATAGAAATCTCACTTACTGCCTAGATATATATGCACCTATAAAAAAACAAAAAGCAATTCAACCACCGCAGGATACAGCTCCCCTCGCAAACTACTTGTGAAGCTCAAACGGTGCGTTCAAAATACAGCAGGATCTTTGCGCTACTTCTAAGATCCACCAGCTAGAATGTAATTATTCTGGCTGCAGGTGCGGCCACTGCCTCTTCTGTGCCATATAGAAATCTCACTTACTGCCTAGATATACTTGCACCTATAAAGAAACAAAAAGCAATTCAGCCACCGCAGGATACAGCTCCCCTCGGAAACTACTTGTGAAGCTCAAACGGTGCGTTCAAATTACAGCAGGATCCAAGCATTCTTCCGCCTTGTTCGCATCCATAAAGCCCTTTTGGAGCGGAGAAGTTCCCTAACTACCGCATATCTGTCCGAGGAACACACTGCCCTTAACTCCATCAGCCGTATCAAAGTCCTCAATTCTCTGCTGAGGCGCTGAGGCGACCCCGTCTCGAAGTTGATTAACTAGAATATTCGTCCAGACAACTCAGTTACCAGTGACCAAGCTGAAATATGTGAGGTCGTGAACCGCTACTTCTGCGACTATTTCACTTCTGCTAATCTGACCCTGCCTTTTACTTTCCCTAGGTGCCCCAATGATACTTTACGCGCAGTACCATTTGAGCTGCGTACCAGTACTCTGGAAATTCAAGCCCTCAAATTATCCTCCCACGCTGGACCTCATGGCCTCCCATCGGCTCGGCTAATTCCAGGAGGCCTGGATACCGCCGTCCTCCTTCTTAACATCATCACCCTTTCCACGAAACATGGAACCTGTCCCGCTGCTTGGAAACATGCAGTAGTCATGCCAAGACACAAAAGGAGAACCCGTCAAAACATTGAAAACTACCGACCCATTAGTCACACATCATTCGCTTCAAGAGTGCTGGAGAGGATCGTCAAGGAAACACTTCTACGGTCCTTGCCTTCTCGTTACCTCATTAACAAATCTTTTGCGGGCGCATCAAATATTTCCGCAGAGACACGCCAGAAATTTCGGCAGAATGGCTGTGGAAACCGAGGTCCAATTCCTCCCCACAACGCAGCAGAGCTCAGCCACTCCGAGGCACGCCCCAACTGCGCACCTTTCGACAATGCTCATTTGCAAAACTACCACTTCTGCGTGGTGACTGTTTTCCTAACTTAATAACCCATAGCACTGGCTGTGATCGCCTTTTGTCGGTCGTGAAAGAGCCTACAGAGGACCACTTGCCTTTTCCTACTCTTCACCTCAGTTGGGCGTCGGCCGGGTCACGTGATTGAGTGTGAGTCGTTAGCTGGCCAGCCTTCGCGTCTAAGTCATTAGCGCGCGTCTATCGTTCCCCTCCTCTCGTGTGTGTCCGTTCCCGAGGTCTCAGCGTCTATCCAAACATGTGCGGCTAGGATAGTTTACATGCTCGCCCAATGTTCCGTCTCACCGGCTAAGCTAGCTTTATCAGGTCAGCGCAACTCCGTTCGAGTGGCCAGCGTTACAAGTCGTCATCGTAGGCGTGCTCCAACCGTGCGAGCGACCATCTTGTCACGCAATTACCTCAGAGGTGGCCTTCCCTCAATCGTAACCTTGGCGACGCAATTATAACAGTGGCGACAGATTTGACCAACCATGACTGACGAATACGCCGATTTAAAACTGATGCTGCAGCAACATCTTAAATTGATGTCCGTGCTAACCGAAAAGCTGTCCAGTTCTTCCCTTCATGCTGGTCCGCGCGCCAATTCTCAGTCAATGGACCATGTGGTTAGCGGAATCAGCGAATTCCTGTACGACGCCAAGGCCGGCGTAACGTTCGAATCATGGTCCAAGCGGTACGAGGACCTTTTCACCGATGACTTGGCTTGCCAGGATGACGTGTGGATGGTCCGGCTGCCACTTCGCCAACTTGGTACGCTCGAACACCAGCGCTACACCAATTTCATCTTGCCGAGGAACCCACACGACGTTACCTTTGACGAGACGGTCCGAACGTCGTCACAGATTTTTGGCGAGCAGTGCTCTTGTTCAATGCTCATTATCAGTGTCTGCAGCTGGCCAAACGTAATGCCGACGACTTCAGCACGTACGCGGGCGTAGCCAACCGGGAATGCCAACGTTTTCAACTTGGCTCGCTCACCGAGGACCAATTCAAATGCCTGCCCTTTGTCTCTGCTCTCCAGTCTCCACATGATGCCGATATCCGGACGCGCCTCCTGTCCAAGCTAAAACAGGATAGCTCAGTTAAACTCCAGAACCTGGCCGAGGAGTGTCAAACGTTGATCAGCCTGAAGCACGATTCTGCAATGATCCAGAACGCCGCCGCACCTGGTATGGTCCAGGCAGTCACGGCACCGAAGGCGCAATCGTCCGCGCGCCCCACCCAATCCGACCGAGCGAATTCCCCACCCCACGCATGCCGATTCTGTAGTGCCTGGCATTTCCACCGCGATTGCAAGTACCGCCAGCATCGTTGTCAACGTTGTGGCAGGGTGGGGCACCGGGTTGGTTACTTCCATCCTCCATCTCCCAAGGGGGCTAAAACTGGGCTGGCCCCCACCCGCGATCCAAAGAAGAGGTCCCGACCCAGACGCACACCCAAACCTGGTCCGGTTGGCGGCTTCTGAGCCTGCTGGCCACGTTACAAATCAACGCTGCGGATCGGAGAAAGTTCTTCGACTATCATTCGGCTATCATTCAAGCTAGCCCAATTCCTTCATCCTGTAAGCCCGGTCTACGCTGCCTTTAGGCCTCTACAGAATATGAATTGGGAGGCCTTCTCCGCACTTCTCCGTGCCGCTCCTTGGGACACTTTCTTCCTGACAACTAGTACAGACACTGCGACTTGTGAACTTTACAATAACTTCACGCTTTGTCTCGATACCCTAGCCCCGATGGAGCGCTCGATCAGGAGACCTCAAAATTCCGATGACGCCCCCACGCGTAAACTTACCACTAAGCTTAAGAAAATGCGCTCTCGCTACAAGCATACTAAAGATTTTCACCTCATAATTCGTATTAACGAATTGCTAGTGGAATGGAGAAACTCGCAAAACCATGTACACACTTTAGCTGAGCGTACTGCGCTGCGCAGTGCGAACAAGGCTAAGTCACTTGTACGACTTATGAAGCATCGCAGTGGCCGCAACGACTTGCCCATTAACTCACTAATGCTTCCTGATAATAGGGTTATTACTGCTGCAGCAGAATTGTGCGAGTTTATTAACGCACACTTCTGTGATGCCTTCATCAGCACTAATGTGTTACTGCCAAATACGATTTCAAAGTTTACCAACGATCGCATTCACACCATTGATTTCGACCTAAACAATATTAGCCGCGCTCTACGCTCACTGAAACGGACACACAACGCCGGCCCCGACGGAGTCCCATCTTCCTTACCATTACTCGGAGGCCTGGATATTCCAATCTTTCTTCTCAACGTTTTCACCCTCTCCATGAAGAGCGGAAACTACCCATCTATATGGAAACACTCTATAGTCGTTCCACGGCACAAACGAGGCTGTCGCCAAAATATCGACAACTATCGACCTATAAGCCATACACCCTTTGCGTCCCGAGTTATTTAAAGGATAGTCAAGGAGGGGATGCTTCATTTTTTACTGCAGCGCAATCTCATAAATAAATCCCAACACGGGTTTCTGCCGGCTAAATCGTGCCAAACATGCCAGTTTGAATTCTTGAACTACGTGACACACTCCATTGACTCAGGGCAAGCTCTGGTCATTATCTTCTTAGACATGAAAAAAGCGTTTGACCGGGTTCCACACAATGGACTGCTGATGAAACTAGCTGCATTCGGTGTCACCGGCCATCTTCTTTCTTGGTTTTCTTCCTACATCTCTAGCCGAACGCAGTCAGTAAAACTAGGTGATACATCTTCCAAAAGAGCACCCGTAACTAGCGGAGTATTTCAAGGTAGTGTACTTGGCCCTCTGCTGTTTCTGTTATACATTAATGACGTGTTCCGCGTCTTTCGATACGGTACTCCATACCTTTTTGCCGATGATATCAAAGTTGTATTTTCGTTCGAGCCTAGCCACATACAAAATAGCCTCTCAAACATTCAGAACGATCTTCGCGGTCTCGAAAATTGGTGCGATACTGGGCGACTAGAATTCTCACCAATGAAATGCAATGTTCTCTCCTATCGTTGCACTATACCACACAACACCCTGACGCTTAACGGCACATACTTAGGTAACGGCTTCACCGTGCGCGACCTCGGTGTGCATTATTCTAGCTCGCTAACTTTCTCCGAACAGGCAAGCTATAGCTCTGCCAAAGCCAGATCTATTATTGGGTATATAATGAAATCAGTAATCCTGGCGGAGTCTCGGCTCATGCTCTACAAAATATGTTCTCGACCGATTCTAGAGTACTGCTCGCTAGTTATCTCCAATTCACGGAAGATTGATAGATTGAGGATCGAGAAAGTCCAGCGGTCTTTCACTAAGCGCCTTCTTGGTTCATCTACGCTCAACTATCAAGGACGCTGCAAACTGCTTGGCTTGGAGCCTCTCTGGCTACGAAGGCTTAAAGCCAACCTCGTATTCCTCTAAGAACTTCTCAAAACCTCTGACTCCTGCATAGGCGAATTTTTTCAACAGATGGGTGATACACGTTACCCCATACGCAAAAAGCCTCACTCATTCTCTCTCCCTAAGACACGTCGCAACATTC